TCGAAAGAGTCGTGTTTCCGTTTTACCGCGTATTCCACGTTTTTTCCCCGATTGTGATTCGGACAAACGCTTTTGAAAGAGCGTGCGACGATACAGCCGTTCGACGCAGCAGCGTTCGAAACCGGCACGATAACCGGTCGAATCGTTCGATTTTTCCGTGCGCAATCCCCCCTTCCTGCCTCTTTTTTTTTTTTATCTCCTACGAGCACCACCATTTCCTCGAATCGAGGCTGTTGCGTTTCCACGCTGATGCGTTTGAACCTTGGCCGATCCGACAAACGTAGCCATTACGTAGCCATTACGCGGTCGAAACTTGACTTTCGACCGATCTTTTTCTCCCTCCCCTCGAAATAACAAACAAGGCGAGATATATTCTCGTCGTATCCCGGTTTTATTTCCTACCTATCCACGTAACGGTGGCGCGCTCGGTTTTATTCCGTCTCCTCTCCAACGTTTGCCAACTCTAGTAGACAAGTTGAATTTATATTTCCCCGGGACTGTTCGCCTCGCCTCGAAATGGGGCAATTGGTTCGGTCGAAGAGGTTTCTCCGGGAGTGGAGAGAAGGAAAACGGGGACTGGAGTTCTCGAAGCCACCCGTTACACCGCGTGATTGCAGAACAGAGCGTTTAACACGGGGCCTCGGGGCCGAAATGAGAAAGGTCAACATGCCGTTCGGAGAAGCTTACCTGTGTAATGCTCGGCCGCTTTCGTTTCCGGCCATGTTTTTACTCCAAACCCTCTTCCACCCGAAATTCCTCCGCTCTCTGAGAAAACCTTCTCTCTCTCTCTCTCTCTCTCTCTCTCTCTCTCTCTCTCTCTCTCTCTCTCTCTCTCTCTCTCTCTCTCTTTCTTGCGAGATAATCAACAAGATAAGGAAGCATTAACTCGCGACATGGATCGGAAGAAGGGAATCTCATCCATTTAACGCGGTTAACGGATTCTCCTCGCTCTCGTCCGTTAATTGCTCTCGATTCTTGATTCCTTTCTTGACGTATTATTATTATTATTTATCTTTATCCCCGGTCTCTATCTCGTTTCGTAAACGAGGGAACGAGAAGGAGGGAAGGATGGAGACGCGTTCGAAGAACGTAATGTCGAGTGTCGAAGGAGCAGCGACGCGAGAGAGAATTCTTCGATGCCGATCCGAAAATTATTCGCGAACGGAATATCCAAAGATCGCGACTTTTTTGTTCGTAAAGAAAAACTCGTTTGAGGAAATGGAAAACGGAAGATACGCGTTTCTTTCGTTTCGAATCGTGGGAAACAACCGATTTTTATCGTTGCGAAAATTATTGGCCCTCGTAATCTCGGGAAGAGATGAAGCGTTGTGAGAAGATTAACGAGGGAGGCCGCATAAAAATAGGATTTTTTTTACTTCGCTACACGAGCAACGAGGAAGCGGAGGAGAAATTTACGCGCCGCGTAGCGCGACGAGGTTCGAAGAGATTCGAGACACCGTAAAGAGTTTAAAGACACCGTATAGAGCGGGTATGGACGAAGATAGGGATAGGAAAATGGCGGGCGAAGGAAAATGAAGGAGGAGAGGAGAGGAAACGAGGAAGAAACGGAAAGTTTCGCGGATGGAAAAGTGTTTGGAGTTGGCGTTGATGAAGGTAACGAGGTTTGAATGATCGTTGAAAAGTTCATCCCTCGAACGGTCATCATTCGTAAACCCGGTTTGGTTTTTCCTGCCTTTTAATCACGCTTACGTATCGATTTCCCTCGGATATTACTCCCCTCCCCCTGCCCAGCCACGAGAATCTCTCCCCGCTTTTCGAGGAGATAACATTTACCGTCCGTCCGTCCTGTGGATACACAGAGGACGCGAGATCCTCCCTGTACGGGATATAATGGAAAATGAAGTTGTTCGTGACTCGAACGAAAATGGGTCTGATGAGCCGTGTGATCGAACTATTAATACACCCGAGCTTCCCCGCTTTCACTTCTAAATAATTACGTGACTTGCAACTATGGAACTTGCAGCAACATCCTCGAAACTCCTCGTCCACGCATTCCAAAGGTAATAAAAATATTCTTTCGTCCATCGAGAGGCAGCCTGGCATTAAATCAACTCGAGGAGGAGAGTTGACGCCGAAAAAATGAGCAAAATCTGCGAGATTTTTCTGGCACTCGCGGAATACGCAATATACATCTGGCGGATGGCTCGGAGGGAGGGTTCCTCTGCGAGCGTACAGGATAATAACAGGGCAGTCGCATCGCGTGTCTCCTCGAATCGCACTTGTTCGAGTTTCACGCGCGCGAAAAACGCGGTACTGTGCTCGAAGGCACGCCACCTTTCTTCGATCGGGAGAGAGAGAGAGAGAGAGAGAGAGAGAGAGAGAGAGAGAGAGAGAGAGAGGAATTCTCTCCACCCTTTCCTTGGATCAGTGACCGCGCTTGTGTCTATTTACGAGGCGGCGGTATCGGTTGGGAACGCGAGGGAAAATTTCGCGGTTTCGAAATGAAAAAATCTCTCCCTCGCAACACCCTGGAAGGATGTTTGATATTTATTCACCCTCCCGTTATCTTTATCGCGCGAGTTATTGCGCTTTATAATCTCCGTTTCATTTTTTTCCTTCTTCTTCCTCTTCCTCCTCTTCTTCCTCTTCTCCCTTTTTCAAGCTATTTAACCGGAAAATCCGAGAACGACCGGTGTAAATTAGATTGTTCCGGAAGAGGGGGAAGGTGGTATTTAAATATAAAAGAGATATCATTTAACGTTAAATTCGCGTTTAAATTTGCATTGAATATTTTCATTGCGTTCCGTTTCTCCGTGTAACGGAAGATAGATGTTCGAGATACGCGATAATCGAGTTTATCTCGATATCGATGGGATGTGAAAACGGAGCCAAGTAGTGCCGGGAAGAAGATCTCTGGGAACGGGAGGGATAAACTTTTCACGATTATCAAAGTGCAAAGTAATCGAATTGGAATTAACGGGAGGGGGTGTAGGGGGTGGGGATCGAGAAAATTGAATCGTCGTGGTTAACGAGCGTTAGAAAAGTTTCCTCGATTTTCTTCACTCGCCTTGGCGATCCTTTGCATTAAAGATTAACTCTCTTCCTCTCCTCCCCAAACCTCGAACGATGTGAACCGTTCCGCCATTTTCTCGCGACGGGTTAAGCGAGTAAAGCGAGGAGGAAGGGGAGAGGCAGTAGAGGATACACACGAGGTTTGGAACCGATGTCGATCAATTCGAGCGCTAATAGCCGGCTTCTCGCCGGTTTAATGATGTCTCGAACATGAACGTTGCTCGAAACGTAGGAGCGACTGAACCCGATCGCGTGCCCCCCTCGTATCTTTCCTTATTCAATCAGATGATTCCCCATCGATCTGGCTACTTGGAAATCGAGCCTTGTTAATATATACGTATGTACATCTTATCGAATTCATCACGGTGAAATCGGCACGGAAATTTCTACGATTCGAGTAAAAAGAAAATTTCACTCGGATTAATTTTTTAATCCGCCGCCGTAGCGCTGTATCACAGCGATATTTGAAATTCCCTTTTTCGAGAGGGATTCGCATCAATCTCGGTAGATAAACGGAGAGATAAACGAGCGTTTGAATTTTGATTAGGAAACATGGTTTTATTGGACGTGATCTGGGTTAGCCACGTCTCGCCGCTCCACTTTCGCTTCAATTTGTCCGATCCGATCGGAAAATTTTATCTGAGCAACCAAGTTTTCGTTCGTCGAGGAGAGAAAGAGAGAGAGAGAGAGAGAGATTCGAATGGAATAGAGCGCGTGCAATTTAGTTTCAGGAGACGTTTAATCGCACGACTTGAGAGAAAGAACTCTCGAAATCGCGTAACCGCGACGCGAAATCTTGGAAACGAACGATCGAATGGAATTTCAGTCTCGCCTTTCTTCTTCGTCGAAAAAAAAAAAAGAAAGAAAAGAAAAAAAAATCATAATTTACGAATCTTAGTTAACCGATATTCTCCGATTTAAGAACAATAAGTTATTGAGAAACGTGGTAGATGGAAGGCATAGACGAGGTTGGAGAGTACAGCGAGTGCGATTATCGGTAACAGACACGCTCGGTTCGTTTTCGTTGACGTACGAAGGTTACCAAGAGTCCTTGTCTCGGTGTGTGGAATTCGAAGGGCCAAGTCGACCTTGGGATTCTACTTGGTATCGGAGGCCGGTCCTCTCCAGATGGTGCACGAGGTCAAGCAAAAAGAACTCTCCTCCAGTCCGGACCTACCACTCCTCGTCTCGCTTTTTCTTTTCTCCGCCGCGTTACGCCTCTCCCCGGACCCAGCCTCCTTCCGTTTTTCCATTTGTTTCTGCCGCTCCGCGAAATCGCGTAATCCTTCCAGCTTTTCCTCCTCTCCTTCTTCATCATCATCATCTTCTTCTTCTTCTTCTTCTTCTTCTTCTTCTTCTTCTTCTTCTCCGACGAGTTCGTGGTCGTTTTGCGAAATGGCAGGCTGACATTTAGAAGGATTTACCTTCCGCGACATACCGAGATTTTATTGTATAACCTCGATTATCGTGGCATCGTCGCGTCGAATCGAGATAGGATCCGAAGGTGAGGAAGCATCGGTAGGTTAAAGTTGGAGGACTCACGAGGATGTAGAATTGGATCGTTGGTATTTAAGAAATTCGAAATCGAGCTATCCGATGTCTAGAGACTAATGGCGCTTGTTATTTCTCTCGTACAAAGATTCAACGGAACAATTGGTGTTCCTCTTCTAAAAAATACGGAACGAATTCTATCTATCAACTGCGGAAATCGTCATATTCCTGTGCTCATTAAAAAAAGCTTCTTAATTAACTAAATAAAAGAATACCAAGGGAGGAACATTTACGATGCGTCGAATTTCCTTCTTTTTTTTTTTTCGATTAAATTTTCAAGAGTATCTATTGGCGGATCGACGTTGGCGAAAAAATTTGTCGATACGAAGAAGATGGCCGCGGGTGGGCGAAAAGCTTTCCACCCGGTGCAGATATTTGTAACCGCTTTTCCTGATGTACTCTTAATCCTGTTTCAGTTACCAGTGGGCGGGGGTGGTGCTGTGCTGGTGCTCAGCGAGCTTGAAAGCATGGCAGCCAGGCAACAGCGGGAAATTGCCCAGCAAAGGCGCCTCCTGGAGCAGAGAGAGGCCCGTCTAGCCGTGCTTCGAGGCGCACAGGTGAGAGAGAACCACTTCTTCCAACCTAAATGCGGAAATCGTTCTGGAAATTGCCCGACAAAGCTCCTGTAATATTCCCTCCTTCGGTCCTGCCGCGGCCCCCGATGCGTTCCACCTTCCCCTCGTCGATGAGACCAACTTCCGCCCGTCCACCCCTCGATCGTCCAAACACGTTCTCTTTTTTTTTTCTTTCCTCCATCGATTCCATCTTTAAACTTTTGCCTCTGTCACCGTACATCGTCCATACATCGTGTATTATTTCACTATATCATATATCGTTTCATACAAGTTTCTCTAGATTATATATATTTCGAAGCGGTACAAAGATTCGCTGTTTGCTTGGCGAATATTTTTAAAAAAAAAGAAAAAGTTTTTCATATATCCGGCTTCTCCCATTCGGCACAAGTGTTGTCGTCAATATGCACAGCCATTTCGCCGTGCATTTTTCGCCGTGCTTACATCCGCTTTTTATATTTATCAAAAATCAATATCCACCATCGGTTGGGTGGATCCGTTCCCAATTTTAATACACGCGTTCCAACTATGAAAAAATTTTAATCCGATATTTTTTTTAGAAAGGGAAGCTTCTTTCTCTCGCGCACATAACGAGTCGACGACGACGATGATGGTCACGGCGTACACTTTTTCGCGAAGAGCGTAATAACAAAATTTCTTCAAGTGCTTAACTTGGTGGAGTACAACTCGCGTAGTACAATCCCGTGTTTGTTGTTCGGTCGGAATTCAATGTTTAGCCGTTTACTGCTGGTGAACGACGATAAAACGGCTCGTAAAGAAGCTTCGTTTCCCGCGATATAAAATCTCGAAATGATCCCCAACTTTCATCGATTCTCCGATCCTCCCCTTCCCTCCCCGCGACTCGTTCTTCCTGCCAACGAGAAGCGGAACATTCGCGTCATGAATAATTCAAACTAATAATAGACTGGGGAACAGTTTATGCCTATTATCGAACAGATAACTGTCCATTCTCGAGGCCCGGCCTCGTCATCCCGTGGAAGATCCACCACGCGTCCTCGCCCGCCACCAGCCATCGTGTTAATGCGACCAAGAATCGCGTAATTCTCGATTAACAGGTATTCCTTGCCCGCTCTTTTCTTTTCACATCTCGTTTCGTTTCACCCTCCTTCGATTTTCTTTCGAAGCAAATTGTCGAAGAGATTGTCAAGAGAGAAAAAGAGAGAGTTGGAAGGGAATAACCTCGAGGAATCGTGCGAGATATTGTGGAGAACACACCTGCTATACACGGGTGGTAAATAATTAGCGGGTTTCTATCATTGGAAGGAGCGCAAGATCGAGCGTAAGGGCAACCGGCAATTACATTCATCCAGCATTGTCAATCTTCTTCTTCTTCTTCTTTTGAGAGTAACTTGGCAAAACGGTCGAGTTCCCCCCCCAAACGATCGAGGAATCAACGCTCGGCCGAGAGGAATCCTAAGAGCGTTCCTCGGGGAACACCATCGATTACGCCGCGATTATCGTCGATGAATTCGCGTATGCCTGTTCCGCGTAATGGAACCGAACAAAAGATGAAGCTAATGCGCCTACCGTTAGCTTCGGTAACCATGATGACCTTGATCCTGAACCTCCGATCATGGAGATTCCGTGTTGAAAAGAGCGAGAGAAAGAGTGAGAGAGATCGATAGCGATTACGTCGAGAAATGATGTATCGTTGCTCCACTCGTTCCCTTTCGTGAAAACTTTCTGTACGAGGATAAAGTTGGAATGAAACTTAATCTATGATAAAACTTCATCGATGCCTTTATACTGCGTACACCTTGAAAACACTTTTGAGGAAATTTTAATTTTTGGATGGATCGATCGATGGACGCGATACATAATCGTCGTTACACTCGTGGAACATGGAAGTAATTCTCTTCTACTCGAGAAACGATCGAGATAATTTGGGATAAAATCCGTCCGTATGAAACGAGGCGAAATGGCGTTGGTATCGACGAGGGTTGGAGGCGTTCAAATCACCGGTTAAACCCGGATCCGCTTAGGCGCGCGATTTTAATCGGGTCCACTCGACTCGACTCGCACCCTGTAGCGAGCTAGTTAAGCGCGTAACGCGTTGAATTCTCGGCGACGACGACGTTTCCTCGCTTCCTCGTGTGCTTGGCACTCGACGCGCGTGTAACGAGCCTCTTCTTCTACGATATTAACGAGATTAAGAGCGTCGAGTCGCGCTCACCTCCGCTCACCTCTCTCTCTCGTCGTTAAATGACGTCAGTCTGATCTTCCATTCATTACTTTGTAACAACGTTTCAATTCAAAACCAAGAAAAGAAAAATACCAGAAAAAAAAAGAGAAATTATCCATCGATCATCGAACGACGAGATTCTTCTTCCCGTTTAAACGAAGGTCTTGCGTCTCATCTCGAGAAAATCGAGCGCAAAAACTACTGTATACGCGGAGATGGCAAATTGGAATAATCGCCAATTGGAAATAATACGAGGTAGAACCGAGGACACGATTTTCTCAGACTCGAAAACTTTAATCCTCGGCGTCGCCTCTATTCCCCGAGACCTCGACGTAGACGAAAAGGCGTAGAAAGTTTTAGCTCGAATCCTCCATTCGTTCCTTCAAGCAAGGACGACCAGCTTTTCTTCTAAGCATGGGGGACTTTTTAACGATCGACACTATGTACGCTGCATGGAGCAAAAAAAGGAAAAGATTTCAGTATCAAGGAGCAAATCTTGCAGTTTCCACGCGGAAAGCTGTAGCCGGTAATTTACGGTTAACGTTCTCGGGGAGAGATTACTGGACCTAGTGGTCTACTACTGGTCGCAACACTGTTAAATTCCGCGTTAAATTTTAGAGAAGATCTCCGGAAGAGGAGATCTGGTTTTCATTGGACGATGGTATGCGGGGAGAATGCGTGTAACGATTAGGGAAGATCCTTTGAAATTGGTTGTTAGTCGGTTAGGAAGGGAGCTCGTTTCCGTGTAATTTGCTCGTTCGGCGAGTGGCGTTAATATTTTAACTAAAATACTCCCCTCTTATTCGGTAGCAGTATTTGAAATATTGCAACGCTCCACCCCACTTCCCCTTTCCTTTACTATCCGTTCCATTCATTAGCCCCGTATTCACTTTGGTGGCTGGTATTCATCCTCCTCCACCCCTTTCCCCCCCCCCCCCCGCATTCAATGACCGGTATTTGCTGTTTCAGGAGCCAGCACAGCAGGACAAACTCGCCAGATTGAGGCACAGGTTGGACCAACAACAAAGCAAACTGAATCGGTTGCGATTACTCAGGTCGCAAACCGACCAGTCACGTGCCAACAACGCCACGCTGAGTAAGTCGATTAACAAGTCGCTTTTTATCCCTTGTAACGTGTTCTCCGTTGGATAAATTCTCTTTAAATATCGCACCCTCGATCACACACAGACACGCGCTCACACGGGAGATCCGATTCCCTTTGACACGAACGAACGAAGGCGAAGCGTGTACCCTTTTCGTCAACAAACGAGCGTCTGTTAAATATTAGAACCTCGAAGAGGGATCTCTCTCAAGCAAAGAGCATTCCTGCGAATTCCTTCCCCGATGATAAACTCGCTCGATTCGAATCCGATGGACAGAGAACAGCGATGTATCGAAAAGTTGCTGGAATCTCTCCAAGGAGAATAGTTTCGTAGCGGGGGACGGACATTCCAGCCATTTTCGTAGCGAGAATGTCATCCGACGCGCGATTACGCACGGAAAGAAGGGACGTTATCGTTCGATTCGAGTGTCGGGCGACCAAGTACGCAGCGAATCCCTGTAATTTTTCAACGGGATCGAAAAAAGGGCATCGAAAGAATATCGGATTCGATAAAGATTTCGCGGACAATGTGCTCCTCGACCTCCTCCTCCTCCCACCTTTCGGATGATTCCTTTTCCTTGAAATCATTTCCCGTGCTCGGAGATCGTAGGCGAGGTTGTAGGTGTTTCTTCGAAGGCCCAACCTCGGCGATCCCCAAACGATTCCCTTCGATGACTTTTAGAATCGTATCGTAGCTTTGATTCTGAGATCCTCTTCCTTTGTCCCATTCCATACTCCATACTCGAAAGATATTCACGCGTTTTTAAACGTTGCTTGTTCAAACAAGGAATTCCAATCGGTTACGTTATGCTAGGCCCCTTTTCCAAATATCTTGGTTCAACAAATGTTGAGTTTGATTTCCCATATTCCCCGAGGAAGTTCACTCGTTACGCTCGTTCTCGATTCGAAGCCTTGCCCGCCGCATCTCTTTCATTCGCGCCGAGTTAGAGGTCGATTCTTCCCCGCGGAAGACCGAGATTAGCCTGTTGAAAAGTGCAATCCGGGAATAAAAGGGCGAAACGGGGGAGGGCGAATAGAAGGGAAGGATCCGTTACCAACGGAAATTCGCGTAATCTGGTTCCCGTGAAACGTGGAAAACGTCGATGGATCGCATCATAGAAATGCAAATGATGGAAATTCATCTTGGGCAACCGTTCGAAGGATGAGTCCGGCGGGGAGGATTCGTAGAGGAGGAGAGAGAGAGAGAGAGCTACACAGATTCGAAACTTTGTATCATCCTGACCCAATATGCCCGGAGGAAGCCCCCTCCCCCCTCTCGTATTTGATGGCTTCCTATTCGAAACGAGTTTACGGGCCACGTAGATTCCGCATTTTACGCTGGTTGTATCTCTGACTTTCGTTTGAAGTCCGAAATAAGGGATGGAGATTTTTTTTACGATGCTAACTTTTCGAATCTCGCTTCCGAGATCGATACAAAGTTTCTCTCCTCTTCCTTTCTCTCCACTCGGTCTCGTTAAATTAAATCTCGTGCGTCTTTCAATTTCTCTGCCAAAAAAGAAAGAGAGAGAGAGAGAGAGAGAGAGAGAGAGAGAGAGAGAGAGAAAGGTTCGCGTCTCGTTTATATATATATATATATATATATATATATATACGTTTGTATGCAAAACAGGTGGATACAGAAACGGTGGACGATCAAAGGGAGGCCCGTTTAAAAAATATTTCCCTCGCCCACAATAAAATTGGCGAAGAACGGGAAAAACGAAATAGACACGCGGTAATCTTTTCGTGATCCCCCGACGTTCCACGCGCGATGCGGTTTATTTGGGGAAAAAAAAAAAAAAAAAGATCCTTCGAATTAAACGGTCGAGACTCGAACTGGGTGACGGGGAACCGGCTTTAATTAAAGAGAGCTTTCCTCTTGCCGAGGTATCGCGGGAATTATGTGGCTCGAATGAACCTCACCCTTCCCCACCCTCGCAAAAGTCACCGCGAGCCTTCTTTTCCCCTGGAAAAAATCGTCGCACGATTTCGCTCCCGTCGATCGTTTATTTCCACGTCATATTTTTCTCGGCCCATCCCCGTCCCAGAATTTCATTTCCTGGCGGATCGATGCCATCCCGATCCCGAGAAAGATCGAATTTTTCTGACTCTCCACTGGGGAGGAGGAGGAGGAGAGGGGAGGATTGAAACGAACGTTTCGAAGGATAAAAGAAGGGTGAAAGATCCTCGGAAAACGATGTTCGGCCACGTCTGATATGACACGAGTTTCCCGAGACGTCGACCGGTTTATCTCGTCTTTCGAGATAAACCTCGTAAGACTCTTTGAGCTCTGGTACCGTCTGTCTCGACAAAAGAGCACCTCCTCCTCGACGAGGAGTCGATTCTCTTTGTCGATTCGAAGGTAAGGGATGTTTGACGAACCCCGTCTGAATTGGGTTTCGTGATATTTTAGCGTGGCAGCGTGGGACGATCCTTTTTCTCTCCGAAAAAACAAACGAAGGGAATTCGCTTCCCTTCTTATTCGTGCTTCTCGAAACCGATGGTGTACCCATATCTCGCCTCTTTTTCTCTTCTTTTCTTCCTTTCTCTCCCAAGTTGAAACAACTTCTCCACCAGCACAAGTCGAAGAGTTAATTTTTCCCCTTTGTTAATCCTTGAGCCTCCAAACTTGACGTCGAAGAAATTCAATGTTTAAATTCGAGGGAATCGTCGTCCGAAAGGTGAAAAATATCCGTTTGAAAAATAAAAAAAAAAAAAAAAATCCGCCAAGATAAATAACCGTTCCGCATCGAAAACCGGAACCATCGATCCTCTTCTCTCGCGAAACAGGGGGAGGGGGGAAAAAAAGTTGCGTGGGACGTGCCGGCAGAGTTTCGCCTGGAATAAATCTCGCCCCGAGTTCCCGTCACAGCGAAATCCTCTCCTCCTCCTCCTCCTCCTCCTCTTCCTCCTCCTTCCTGACAGACGTAGCGAGCGCAATCGACCAGCCTCGTGCTTTCCATCTAATAGTTTCCGCTTGCCCACCTAATGGCCCAACTTTTTGACAGATCATGAATTCTAATTTCATTCCTGCCACTGCGTGCAGAGATGCGGCAACGGTTAGTTCCTTCGTTTTCTTCCCGCAAGAAAGACGCCCCTCTCTCTCTTTCTCTCTCTCTCTCTCTCTCTCTCTCTGTTTGTATCGATTTCGAAGATTGTTAACGAAACGATTGGTTAACGAGTGATAAAGAAGAGGGATAAAATAAGATGGATGGTGGACGCGAAATGGATTAAGCCGATATTCAATCGGATGATCGAAACCCTGGAGGCTTAAAATTGTGTCCCACGATTATCCTCGAACGAATTAACGTTCTGAATCTTGATAATGACACGGCCGATGCTAATGGCTTAATCTCGAGAGCAAAGAAGATTATTCCGAGTCGTTCCTTTCTCGTAACACGAGAAACGCAAACGCTCTTGTTATTCGAAGAGATTAGATGCACGGTATAATGTGGATTAATGGCAGTTAAGATACACGAGCGTCGAGGGAGGAGGGGAAAACGCATTCCGCGTTTCTGTTCTATGTTTAGAAAGTAGAAATTAGTATGGGATTACTATGAATCACCTTGGGTTTTTTCATTTTTTTTTTTTTTTTTTTCACCCTTTGATGAATGAAATTCCCTCTCGCGAATCTCGATTCTCTCGGCAGTGGAGAGAATTCGAACATTCGGGGAATTGTGATATTCGGCGAATAAAACTTTACTCCCCCTCCCCTCCTGCTCGAATATTCAAAATGGGGGATGGAAAATTTGTCAAAGCGCGAAATTTTTGGCCGAAGAATTAATTTCGATTCTACGAAGTTAAAAAATGAATGTTTTAAACGAGGATAAAAACATCATAATCTTTCTGTAGTACGTAATACTTTTCAGGGAAATAAATCTGGACGGATTTTTCTTTTTTTCTTTTTTTTTTTTTTTTCTTTTTCTTTTTCGTATTTAGGTTAGTTGAAATATGATTTTGGAGGGAAAGAGAAAGAGAGAGAGAGAGAGAGAGTGAGAGAGAGTGAGCGAGGTTGGTTGATAATTTAAGATCTCGCGGGTCAAAGGGTTAGCAAAAGCGGGGAAAAACGAGGGATCGGACGAAGGTGGGCCTTTAACGTAACGAACGATCATTTTGTACGCTATCCGCGGGCTAATTTGCCCATAACCCGTGGCAATTCTTCTTTTAAGTGGATATTTTTCGAGATTTTCGAGTCGAGCGGCAAGGTATGGAAATATCTTCTAAAATAGTTTTATCCGAGTAGTTTTTTTACTCGTTTAATTCTTTTATAAAATTATTTTTTATAAAATTATGAAATTTCAAAAAAAAGAAGGAGGAATCCAGGGGACGGGGGAGGAAGGGACAAAGAAAAAGAAACAAAAAGAATGGATAATACCGCGGGAATTAAAAAAAAAGAAAAGAAAAAAAAAAATCTTATCTTCGAATACGATGGAGCGTTGTTAATTAATTTTTTTCCCAAATGCCCACGGCTGATACAAACTGTAGCCAAGAGTTTCGTGTTTCCCGGAATAGTGGATTCTATCTATCGTTCTTTAACAAAGTTTTAAGGAGTTCCCCTATCCCTCCTTCTCCTCGACAAAAAGTTCGACCGTTCCCTCGATAGTTCTCGATAGTTGAATTCCGTTTAAATTTTATTCTCGCGATAACTCGAGTCGGTTTTTTACATTTTATTTACTCGAGTTTTTTTTTCAATAAAACTTCATTGTTTTTTTTCTTTTTTTTCTTTTCTCCGACATAATTCGAAATCGCATCGATTCTTTCATGGATTAGTCGCTTTTTGTCTCTCTCTCTCTCTCTCTCTCTCTCTCTCTCTCTCTCTCTCTCTCTCTCTCTCTCTCTCTCTCTCTTCTCGAGTTCCATCATTATCTCTGATGGCGAACGAGCGAAATCCAATCGTGGAACTTTGGATGAATCGATTCGATTCATCCAAGTTGCCTGGACAAACGTGAAATCGCGAAAAAGAAAGGACAAGGAATTAAAATTTGCTTTGACTT